AGTCCTTCTGGGAAACCCTACAGCCTTTTTTAATGCTTTTCTTCTTTCGCCTTTCCTCTGCCTCACCTTGTCCCTAACTGTTTGTTGTTATTGTTTAAAGTTTAGGATATCGTATGTCTCACGCTCTTTTCTTTGCACTATTATACGGCCAAAAAGGAGTCTACTTTAAATCTTGATAGAGTCAGGTTGCAGTACAGTCCAATAATGATTTACAGAAGCAAAACCGAAGACAAATAAATTATGTTATAAATTTTTGCATAATACAATAAGTAACAAAGATATACAGGCATCAAATACAGAATAAATGGAAATCTGTACCGAAACAAAGTCGACAATGGAAATAATCAAATTAATACAACTGAAAAAAGAATTACACAACTATAAACTAAATATATATAAGAGATCTATCTATGAGATAAGGAGCTTGATAGGACAAATAGAAGGATCCAGAACGTCATACACATATAAGCCTCAAGAACATACATACCAAAAACCAGGACCTTCATACTGCATGTAGGCGATATGTCTGATGTCGAAGGAACGGTTCTGATTCATTATGGGACTGGACCAAGCCAGGAGGTCCAACAGCAACGGACTAAAAACACAGACATCAGGCTCAGGCTGAATATCCAGTACAGAGGGGCATAGGCATGGACACGTCAGACTAGTGAAGAATGACACAATAAAGCCTGCAGCTTATTCGCTGAATGAGATCTTTCAAGCCTGCCTCCTTTTACCTGCCAGTTAGTTAAAAAGAGAGAAGGTTGTGCAGATGTCATCAGTGAGGAGAGGAAGAGAGAGAGGTGGAGAGAAGAGAGAGGGAGAGGAGAGGGGAAGGAACAATGGAGAGGTGAGTACAGGAAATGCTGGGGTTGGTCGAGCATTTGACATGTGAGTGTTAGGATAGAGAATGAAGCAAAAATGACACATCATAAGGAGAGATGCAAGACAAACTAAGTTACCTTCTTACTAAATAATAATCTTACATTTTTGGGATTATTAGGGATTATAGAGGAGAGATCAGCAATGCTTTCTTCTTTCATTTCATACATGCCTCCAACACTTGTCTATGATTGTTTTTTTTGTGTTATTAGAGATGTATAGTCTCACGCTCTTTCTTTGCAACTATATAGGAAATACTATATATATGTCATGAGATAAAAGATATAATTAGATTAAGAGCAGTATTGATTATTCTCAAAGAGACACATAATAGAATTATATACAAAAAACTGATTATCCTCCTTAAGAGATAAAGACTCAACAATGCAACATGGCGGACTTGCAGATCGTGGCTCGGTAGCTCCCTGGCTTTAAGCAGCGCCCTCGAGAAAACCTATAATTATAAGTACCATTGATGGCCAAGTTATAATCGAGGATGAATCCCTTTAATTTCCTTACGGTTCAGAACTAAAACAATGACCCAGGCGAACTCGTCCTTCGTAGGCCTCCAAACACATTCAACTCCGAGTGGATTGTCCTCCAAAAAGGTGCTGTTTGAACTTTGTCCTGATACCAAACAACAAGTGCGTGAGCCTTTAAGACAACAGAAGACGCTAACAATATCAAAAGCGTTAAAAGTGCTGAACGAGTGTGGAGAAAAAATCCCCCGTCGTCTCCCACTACCTGGAGACGAGCCTGCCACCGGTGACATTTAATAACCGGATGTCTCAAGCCTGCTCGCAAGATGGAGCGGCTGCACAGTTGAGATCCTCCGCCCTATGGCATGCAGTAAACTTCAGGCCCAGATGTCTGCGAGAACCTGTGTTCTGTGACTGCGACCATAGCTCCAGAGTTGATGCTGTTGAACTCGCTTGGAGCCGAGCAATGGAAGGAGGACCAGCTGTCCGGCTGGGAGAATGGCGGAGGAGCTGGCTGGAAGCTGGGCTAGTGGAAGAGTCCCCTTGGCCTCTCCTGCGGATCCCACCTGGGTCTGCCGCTCCTGAAATAAACCTCGCATGAAGTTTGACCCCGCGACGTGATAGTCTGTGCCAGGCAGGTGCAGGGAGTGGAAAACATACGCGTGTACCCGACTCCCTGGAGGGATTGCGATAATTCCGCCGAAATGAGCCGTGTGGTTGAAAAGGCCGGGCCTCGGAGGAATCATGCCAGGGTCAGATCGCGCTGAGTGCTGGAAAACCCTGAACGGAGGGTATTGAAGCCTATGTCGGTACTGGTGCGGCAAGGATATAAGAGTATTCGACGAATATTGGTGTTTTTGCCACAATTTTCACCGGACCTCATGCGAGACTCTGTCTGAATACTTGAGTGGTCAACTTGGCCGCAGCGTCAAACTGTCAATCGCATTGTCACTGCAGGCACAGATACAGGCTCGTTTAAAAGTGTCTGCAGGAGTGCAATGAAAGTTGAGGAAAATACATGAGGACACAATGATAAATGTCATTGTAAAATGAATAAACAAGAGGTTTA